TGGATGCAAATCAGACGAAGTTTATTTCAAAACAGAACAAAATGCATTGAAGAAACATTTATTGTACAGTTGAAAGGGTTTTACCGTTGAGAAAGCGATGTGCATTGAGCGTTAGATGATCGCGACATGTGCCAGGATCGAATTTGGACAAGAGTGATGTATAGGCTGCCGAGATGAACGAACGCAAATAACTTTGCGCTTCACAATGCTTGAAACCAGCGGCCTTCATGTACGGTAATATGAACTGTAATCATACAGTGTAATAAGAACCACTCTTAAAGGCTACTATTAACTTTATTTAGTTTCATCGCAAGTTTGCATGACAACTGAATGATTTTCAAAGTTTTCGAGAACCCCATCACGATGTGTTTGTAACTCAAAGTTGCCATCGTTTAGTGTCATCCTCGAAATGAAAAGTCTTTAAGAGGAATTCTAAAGGAGCAAAATAATTATTGTACATTGATTTATAGAAAGTGATGTGCACAGAAATTCAATAATAGTTGTATTGATTCCACAATACAGTGATTATAGTTCGTTGATCTAAGGTACGATCTATATTCATTGCGATAAATTTCACTAAAATTTTTCTGCGATTTTATCGGCCGTCTCCAAAAAACAAATTTGACGACGTTTTTTTTTTGTCACCCGAGTATGAGAGGAAGGTTCCTCATTGATTCATACTATTGAGTAGACATCGATCATAGTACATTTGTGAACATTTTGCTGAACGCAAAAGAAAAGTGTTCGAAAAGCAGACGTCTTCAAAAATTTTCGTTTCAATGTTAAAAGTTGTTTTTTTTTTGTTTCAACAGTCTTCTACTTAGAGTCAAAGAAAGCAAAATGGACGCACTGGTTTGTTGACATGGAACCAAAATTGCACGTTTTTAATGAGAATTGAGTGTATTATTATAAGGTTTGTCAGACAGTCGATTTATGCAGTTAACAACCGTACGTCTTTGAAGGGTGTGCACGTAGTTCGATCAACACAAAAAATCACTTCGTTATTGTACTTTTCGGGTTCGTCGATCAAGCACCGTAAACATCGCTCCATGATCGCTGCCATATTACCAGCGTATATCTTAATGTGTACTCTATCAAGATCACAATTCAAAGAGTACAAGATGTTCATGATCCATGAAACTTAATTAATCACTTCAACTGGTTCGCTTTCTTAGAATCGTCTCGGTGCATTCCATGAAAGCATAACATGAAACTGCAGTTACTGAAATGTCGTCTGCTTAATACGTTCGTGACATGTACAGACAATCGACGAGTAGATGTCTTATCAGGAAACTGAAAAATCTTTCAGAATGGTACTAACAAACTGATGATTGCCTCGATCATCGCCGTTTATATTCGGTATTCCGCCTTGCGCCATGCAAACCTTCTTGGCCATTGATACCAAATGTGGTTCCCCTTCGCCGAATATGAACGTGGGACGAAGAATTATCGCACTCACTTCACCTTAAATGAACCAAACCAAAGACATTAATTATCTGTCGAACGCAAATGAAAAAATTTGTTGCATTGAACGCCTTCATATTTCATATCGGACATGTAAATTTATGCGTTAGAGAGTTCTGTAATGAGCACATTTGAGTTGTCCGCTACGTATGATTAGGGAATGTTGGCCAATTCGTCAAAACATGAAGCGAATTTTCAGACTTCCACAGAGTCAGGTTCGATTCTAGGCGGATGGATATATGAGTGAAGTGATAGGTACACATAACA